AAAATGCTCACTTCAGATATGGGCATGAATTACTGGAAAGAATTTGCTAATCCTGTTACTAAGCAGCAGCGTAACTAATGGAAATATTTAAGTGGATACTTAAGAGAATTTAGTCATTTTAAGAGACCTAGAATAGTCTGCTTTAAACCTATAGTTACTAGAAACAGCTGGGGATATCCTGGTGTAAGAATCCCACGGACTCATCCCCTTCCTGACAAGTTTTTCTATCTACTGTTCAGATTCTGTGTAGTTATACCGGTAGTGTCACATCTGACTAAAGAATTCCCTATCATGGTGTACAAAACCAGATATATAGGAGAGATGTTGCATTCAAGTAAAGGTTAGCTGATTGCTGTCAGAGGCTTCTGGAAGGTAACTTCAGGATTTGAAGACGGCTGTGTATCTTCACTGCTTTTCTTCACTGAGGAAAAGAGTATGTGTTGTGTGGGGGGGGAATAATTAAAAATTAATTTAAAACTGGATGTAAGTCACCCACATTTAGCATACAGTGTCATGGATAGAAACACACTGCAAGGAACAGTCTAAAACAGGCTGTGCACCTAACATATGAAAATAATAACGTATTAGCTGCTAAGTTTAAAGAAGCAATATTCACCCTGTAAGTACTGTTTGTTATAGTATGGTGTCTGGAGCAACTGCTGAGAGACACCGTTCAGCACCCTCATCAACAATACCCATGCAGCCTGCCATATGTGAACTGTTTTGCCAAGGGTTGGTAAGGTGTTTCCTCTAAAATTAATTAATTCTGTCTGTTCTGTATATGCCGTGACTGTTGAATTAAAACATGGTACAATAAGCAATTTCTTTCTTTGTGGAAATATTTTGCAGTGAGCAGGAAGACAAGAGTAATTTCACCTTTTAAAAATAAAAAGCTGGCCTCTGAGAGCTATTATAAACGACAAGCATATAGCTTCTCTTCTTCAGAAGACTGCCCACAGTGTAATACAGCGGATTTATAATTGCAGGACAAAATAATTTTTAAAAAAAATTGTTATATTCAGGGTCCATGGATTCAGATTAATGTTCAGTATCAGCTTCGAATATTAGGTGGCTGTAAGCCCACAGGCATTCTTAGGGATCAGTGATGATCCATGATACCTTATCAGGTCGGTAGGAAAATTTTGCTGAAACAGAATTGACTTCTACCTCTGCCATTTCTTTCTGCCCTCTGAGATTTCTTAACTGGAAGTGTTTTGATTAATTTATTTCAAACCTAACATTTGCAATAATACCAGTTCTTTGAAAGAAGTTTTTATACAAAGTTTCATTATTAATATTTCATAAAAATTGCAGGGTCATGCATTGAAGAGCTATTGACTCAAAAAAGGCCATGATCAAAAAGCTCCATGTTCTCTGTCAGCCCTTTAATTATAAAGATTGTGAGTGTCTAGGAGAGCAGGTACATTGTCTACCCTGATCCATTATTCCATATTACAGAAGTCTGCTGTTTAAGTTCATATGTATATATATCGTTGTGCAAACTTACCAACTTTATTATTTGCAAATACAGGCACTTTTATATAACCATAATATATACTCATTCACAAATGTCAGCTTCCAGAACTGTGAATTTAAACCAAACTTAAATTAACGACACAAAAGAAGCCTGAATGCACTTTTTAATGTGAAGATCATTTTCCTTTTTTGTTTCTCTTTTAAATCAAGTAAACTAAAATTATGTTTATCATCATTACACATTTATTTATTGCAAAACTTAACCGAGTTAGTGATCCTCAAGGGGATTGTTTTTCAGAGATTAAAATTTTAGTGCTTTAGAATTAGAGATCATAGACCTGGTATAAACATTTTTTCTTTATCTCAAAAGATAATTAACAGTATCCCAAAACAGGACTAGTAGGATTACTGGTTTATGGTTTAATTGAGAATAGGAGCTCTGTTCCATCTCACTTGCTTTTTCATATTAAAACTTGACCATGATCTTCATTTACAATATTTACACCCATTACAATAGTTACACCCAAACTAATAGAGAAAGAAAAAGCTGAAATTTTCCCTGTGATGAAAACTTGGGCATTCGTGGTTTTAGTGCTATGAAAGATGCCACATCTCTTTCTGAGCTGATGGATTTTGTTGCTTTAACACCTTATTTAACTAACCTGGATAATAGGCCAAATTGTAACAACGCTTTATGAAGTGGGGGAGGTTGTCTGTGTTGCTCTAGCTAGAAGGCTCGCTGTCTGCTATTTCTCTTTACTCTTGAAATCAAATTTTCTTGTGTGTTCACTAACGTGATTTATTCTCATCAAATCAAATTAGAAGTGCTTGTTGCATAGAAAGGAAGCGGTTTCAGCGAGGAAGGCATGCCACAAGATTTAAATACTAAGGTATCAGTGAAAATTCAGGGAACGTACAGTTTCAGTTTTCTTGTATTTTTTAAGCGTCCTTTTGTTTTGACAATTGTTCGTATTACTTTGGATAAAAACAGTTTCAAATATCACCATGGTGTTTAAAATAAGCTCACTTGACTTTTACAGCAGTCAGTCACGGAATGATTTCAGGTCAGTACATAATCTCTGTTTTGTACTGTTCTGTAAAGGAACATCATCTTATGTAGAGATATCAATGAAGAACTTGGTATCAGATGATTAAGAGGAGCAGCTGGTAGATGTTATCTCTCTGTTGGCCTTCTGGATGAGTAATCCACCAATAAAGGTATCACTTCTGAAGAACAACTTTAAAAATAGCTATGACAATATTCCAATATTTATAATACTATTAACAATATTTTGCAACTTAGGCCTTCAAAACCAGTTAAATATTTTTTTTTTTCCTTTACGTTTACTTTATACGGAAATAAAACATGCTTTCTTTGTTTTGAGTTTTTAATATACTGTAGACCAGAGTACTTTTTCCCAATTTGCAGCAAGGCCATTTTTCTACTTAAACTATATGCATAAATGCACCTGACTTTGTGCCAAGTACCATCTCACAGGACAAAGGACTTTCTCATCCATTGCTTATCATTTATAATATAGTTCAAACTTTCCAAAGCCTATAATATAATAATTTAGGGATAGTTATAAAATGCCTGAGGCAGTCAGGCCTCCCATTAGCTGCTGCTGATAGTGAAGAGCCTAAGTCTTGTTTGTCACGTAGTGTAGTAATTGTATTTCAAAATAAAAGATAGCCTTTCTGCTGAGGATATTCCGAAAATAAAATGCAACAACCTAATCACTGCAACTCAGACCCTTCTGTGTATCTTTATATAGGGACTTTCTGAGAAAAGGCTGTGGTTTGACCATTTGAGAGTAGCTATTGATGAACCTTGTTCCTTTGTGATTCAGTTTATAATCTGAGTTTCAAAATCTTTTTTTTTTTTTTTTATTATGAAGTTTTTGGTTATAGGTAACTTTTTTTTCCCCTTTGTTTCCTAATTCTACTACCGGACAATTTGATTTGATGTAGTATATATGAATCCATAGTTTTGTATGAAAGGATTCATTAGCTTTTTAAGAGGCTAAGCAATGTGCCTAGTTTGAAATAATTGTAGATTATGGCAGACATAAGTAACTTAGAGGATAGGCACCTTTGGAGGATGAGCAGTCCCAGTTAACAAAGATGTTGAAATGGAGTGAATTCTTTGGCAGGTTGCATGCTTCAACTATCTTCAACTGCAGACCGAATGAGGCTAATATTAAGTGATAGGAAACTTAGCTCATTTCTAAAAGTTATTCCACTTCCACAGTTGAATGAGAAGAAACACAGAGCTTTTATTTCAAATATTTGGGATTGCCAATATGTAGAATATTCAAGATATGGGAATGTATTGGATTGACGTACTCGTACAATGATATTTCCTTTTTATTTTTTAGAAAGTGAAGAGCTGGATTGGCTTAATTCCCACTTAATGTGTTGAATACACAGGATATAAGAGGTGGTCTGGGTCAGGATTAAAGAAATTGTCAACAGTTTGTGAATATTAACATCAGAATATATTTTTTTTAAGTCATACTATTTGAAGGAAACACTTGAAATCAATACCAAAGTTTATTGCCTGTAGTCTGAAAATTATTTCTATTATCAATAGAAAACATCACAGTTAGCACTAACTTACTGCCTTCGCAGATGTCATATAACACAGATTAGACGGGCAAGAGGTGAACTGCAGCTTTCACCTACTTTTAGGGACAGAGTTTGCAGATAAAAAGCGGAGAACACGCTCTCTGTTTCTGGAACGACACATGATTGTATGTCAAGTAGCAAGTACTGAGCTCTCTGTTTCTGGAACGACATATGATTGTATGTCAAGTAGCAAGTACTGAGGGAAAATGGGAAGAGTTTCAGGAAAGTGGCAAGTTGTAGGTTAAAGGTAGGTGCTATAATGATGTGAAGAATGATGATGAAACTGAGGGGATTTATAGACATACAGTGTTTCCTACCTAATATACTTGACACTGAGAACATATCACCTCTTAGAAAGAGGGAACAATTTTCTGTTCCTTTTACTGTGAATATCTGTGTATTCTACTTTATACTGTAAGCAACTCCGTATCTTATTTTAAAAAAGAATTATGAGTGCAGAGTCACAGAATCAGACCTGAGAGTTGTCTCTGTTATGCCAACAAGTAACTGAGATTTTAATCTGTATAAAGAAGTTTTACAGTCAAAATTTTTTGTTTTATATTATTCTAGGTTTTGGGTTTTTTGGGGGGTTTTTTGCTTTTTTTTTTTTTTTTTTTCAAGGCTGCTTACAGCCAGAAGAATTAGTACAGTCACATTTGTATTAAGGAATAGTGCAAAAAAAAAATAATCTAATGAGACTTGAAAAGGAAATCAATACAAAATACGCCCAGGAATCAACGCTGATGTTTTCTCCAGATAAATTGCTGTACTGATTGTCATGAAGTATATTGATGTCACTGTCACTATGACAACATTGTGACAAGAACTAGTCACTCTAGGCTACCTTGTAAAAGGATCTGTCATCTATATTTTTTTTTTGTGTATAAAAAGTAATAGAAATGAGAGCCTCTCCCCTAGCACAAGGTATCATTTAAGGTTAGATGATTTGATACAGACATCGGATCAAGGACAAGCTAGATTTTCAAGACAGGTAAGAGCAATATATTATTCAAATACAGTATGCTTTTACTTTTCAACAAGTAAAAACAAGAAGAAAAAATTTGCATTCTCTGAAACACAAGTCTTTGTATGCAGAAAACTAATGTTTTGATATATTTCTCAGAAGTACAGCAGGATTTTATACCTGTGGAAGAAACATTTGGAAGTGGTATGTGTGTAATATAACTTATAAGAGGATGGGGGGATTCTGTATTTCTGGTTCCGTGCTATTTCAGCTGAGCCACAGAATCTGTGATGTACTGCATTTTTTCTTTTCTTTTCTTTTAACCTTTTTTTACCATCCATGGACCTAGTTTATTTTCTCCTTGTGTATCTACCTGATTCCTACTGACTCGTGGATTTTAATGTTTGTATTTTCCCACATAGAATTCCTACACTGTTGACAGCAAAACAGCTTTTGAAAATTGTAGTCTCTAGAAATACCACTATATTAACCAAAGCAATACTTTTTGTGTTTGTTAATCTACATATTACATTTTTGCAAATCTATTCACCAAACACAGTGCTTTTTTTTTAATATATATTAGTTGTTTAGAAACAACAGACAAGATATCATCATGGAAATACACCTAGATAATATTTTCCCAGAGGTATTTTTGTTCCTAACAAATCTTTACCAGATCTAAAATTCCTATGGGGAGTCCTTGGCATGTTTGCTTTGCTGCCTTTTAACTGTGCAAGGTGAAGTGAGCAGACTTATTAAGTTCAGGCTCTCTTGGCCTGGATTTCTGTTAAAATTAATTTAACTGGTGTTGAATTCTAAATATGTCCTAACAGGAAAAGGATTCATAATCATACTAATTAATATTAGCTGTTGTGTGCTTTTAGTGTGTAGCACAAATGTATGAAGCTAAAGCTCTCATTAGTGTTTCAAATTAAGCTGATTTTTGCATTGTTTAAAATAAAGCCTTTCTCCATTGCCTCAATTCTTCCAGGGGTGTCATTCTGTAGTGTTATCAATAAGTAAAATCACAATTATAAAGTTTTGGGGTTTTTTTAACTTTAAGATGCAAACTGAGAGCTGAGGGGTTTTGCTTGCTCTAGATAAAAGTTTAGAAAGCTTTAGAAATACTGCCATTTTAGTTCCAATAAAATTTTGTAGTTTGTAAAGTCTTGAATATTTATTGTGCTTCTAATATGGTAGTATCTAGTTGGAATTAGATGTCTATGACCACCACACTCTTTTCAGAAAGATCCAGACAAACTAAAGTCCATAGCAGAGCAAGAAGATTTATACGTTTCTAAAATTTGACTGATCATGAAAATTTAAAGAAAGTTTTTAAGACCTTTCTGTGAATGGAAGGTTATTATTTAACAGGATAGTAATGAAATGCTTCCTATGAGAATTATGAGACAAAAGAGTTTATTTTGTAACAAAAAAAAAAAAATATTAGGGAAAACTTACTAAGTCTTAGCACAAAAAAATTAAAATGTAGAATATATTTTGTAACAAAAAAAAATAATTAGGGAAAACTTGCTAGGTCTTAGCACAAAAAAATTAAAATGTAGAATCTCTCATTAGCGATTTTTGCTCAACAAGCAGCTGCTAAGGAAGTCAGAGTTTTAAAAAGATTTAGAACAAATATAAGTCTATATTGCATACTTTCTAAATCAAGTTAAGAGGTGTAAATCTGTAAGACAGCATAATTCTGAAGTAGTTTAGTAGCAGTGGTGCCTTTTTAATAAGCATTTCTACCTGCTGAGTACAGTCTGAGTTGTAGTTTGTGTTCCTCTCGAAACAGATGATTTACTGCTTTTAACCATGTAAGTGAACACACGTGAGGGAATGAAGTTGATTCTGTTCTTTCTTTCACTCTTCAGGACAATTACTGAATCCCTGTTTCTATGCAAAACACATAAACAGCAGAGTTTTAAGCAAGAAATCCATATTCTGTAGCTATGATTGCAAATTGTGATAAACAGGTTATAAAGAAATCTGTTTCCTATATGTATACATTGTGCATCATCATCATCATAAATAAATAAATAAAAAAGAGGAAGAATCTCAATACGTGAATTGGTTTCAAAATCATAAAGAAGTAATAAAAATGGAAATGTATTTACTTTAGTAGTTTTTCTGCATTTTAAATTGTGTCTCTATACCACCAGCCCCATTACTTACATGTATGTGAACTGATTCTACGTGCCTTCTCTTTCTATGGCTAGTTACTATATTTTCACTTTTGTCACACAGAAATAATCATTTCACTTATAAAAAAAGTAAAAGGGAAGGGACTTGGAATATAATTTTCATGTCATATGTCTTATTGATTATCATTAAAAATGTCCACAAAATGTGAAATATTTGTATATCTATTTTTCCTTCTGTAGCTATTTTTATATTTTTTGATGCCTAGGCATTATTTAGAATAACTATTAAATTCAGAGTTTAATTTTTTACAGTGGCAACTTCAAATTTAAATTAATCATATCTTGGCAGTAGCTCAAATCAATCCTCACATAAGAATAATCCACAAAGGGGAAACTGCAACTTCCTTTTCAAATTGCTTTTAATACTCTTCCATGATTGTCTCTTCAAAAATAAATGGTAAGATGATCCTCTATTTTAATTTCCCACTCAACTCTGGAGTAGATTTTTTAAGCATGCTGGATACTTCATACAAATCTGCACTTACTTTTTTAGAGAATTAGTCGAGAAAGAAATCTGACCATGTTTCTTTTACAGATGACAGATTTGCTTCAAGTATTTTTATCATCTGAAAAAATTGAGTGACTAAAAATTAAAGTGTTTTTTTTTCTTTGGTTTTATTATTTTATCTGATAGCTCCTCCATAATGAGATGGAGGCAAGTAAAAATGAGAATTTTGATTATGAATACCAGGTTTCAATGAAACATGTGCAACGTGTAATGGAAAAACTGCAAAATCACAAACAATGGATAAATTATCTGTTGTTCTGATTTCCAACAAAGTCCTTTGTGACACAAATGTCTTATGCTTCATGTGTTGCAGGAATATTGAGTCTGTTGCTGAACGCCGGTAAGTGGGATCAAACAAAAGGTTGCAATGAACTTTGCACTTAATCAGAATGTGGATACTTATTATTGTTAAAGAATTTTTCCTCTTGAGGGAAGAATAATTTTTCCAGGTGTTGATGCATTAGTAATTACTGGAAAGTCTGAGAGCAAATTGGCATTAGTACATTGATTAATTGCTTCTTTGCTTTGTACAGTCCTGCCTTCTCTTATTGTTTCTGTCTGAAAGGCTATGAAACATTTTCACTGCAAGAATTATTTAAGGTTTGATGTCAAGTCGAATGCTTTTGACTTTTGTAGCCATCCCTCAGCCCTTTGGTTTGGTAGCGTCTGCCTCTGTACAGCCCCATCCAGAATGCAGGTCTCAATGACTTGTCTTGCCAGCCCTGCTTGTGAAGGATGTGAGAAACTTTCTTATTCAGTTTTGAACACTTATTTATGAGTGTATATCACACCATGCACTGTCCCTGTTTCCAGAGAAAAGATATAGGTAACATCAGTAACACTGACAATGGGTATAAAAGCATTTGCAAAACAAATCAAGAAAACAAATAAGCCCTTTTATTGCTTGAGTGATCTTCTCATTTCCGTTGTCTCAGTGCATACAGGCAGCAGTTTCTTCCCAAATATTTGTTTAGGCTTCCTCCAAATCTAAAAATTTGATTGAACACTATATTGCTACTTATGACTCAGTGCAAACCACACCATGTGTACTCTTACACATGACGGGTCAGAATCTGACAAAGAGCCTTTCTTTGACTGCCCTCTTGATGCCATTGTCTTATTATAGATACATACTTAGAAGGGCTATTTCTCCCAAATGCAGTTATGTCCCAGGTTAAAGAGAAAGTTATGAGACCAATATAATTTTTTAACAATAGCAATGAAAATGTATTTTAAAGTGGATTGTGTTTTGTAAATCTCTGATAACTTAAAATTTATATGGTACTTTCCATGTTTAAAGCACTGTGTAAGCACTAATTAATTTTCACCTCTAGCTCGTAGTTCAACATTACCCCAATTTTATGAACTAGAAAAGTGTGAGAGCAAAAATTAACAATGTAGTGAAAGGCCAAAAGCAGATGTGAAACACTCCAGATAGTATTTTAGGAAATATATTCCCAAACCTAGTGACAGCCTTATAGGTTACACTGGCTCTTAACTAGATAGGTTACAGTTTTGACTGTAGTCTTTCTACTACAGTTCCTTTGAACTGTAGTAGAAACAGGTATATGATGTGTTTAGCGTTCATATTAGAAAATGTTAATTGTAAGGTAACATTTATAATGTGTTCTATATTCTCAGTGATTCTTTTTTCTTTGGGTAGTTCTGGGTTGGGTTGGTTTTTTTTAATTATTGAACTACTATAATTTTACCAGGTTCATCAATGACATCTTTTGATATTATATATATAATAAGACGCTAGGTTTGTATGTATTATCAGGATTGCTTCCCAAATATATGCAACGGCCTTTGGATGTCCTAATTACTGTAAATGTGACTTTTTTTTTTAATTAATTTTATGAATAAACTTGGAAGGATTCCTATTTAAAGATGAGCTTGCTAGCCAGGTAGGCTGCTAGAACTTTTCCCATGTTCAGTCAACTTTATATTTATTAATTTCTGTGAATTGTTAAGGAGAATGTTGCTGCTGCATTGGTGTGGCTTTGTTGAACTTAATGGGTGCACATACAGAGCTTGTTTCAAGCAGACTTCTGCAAAAGCAAGGATCTAGGAAAGATTATGGGATTACAATGCTCTCTGTGTCTTGCTGTCTTTTAACTACATTATTTCATGAAATTTCTGGGAAATCCAAAAATAAATTTGTAGGAAAACCTGTTTTGAGATGGGAGTTTTGACTGAAGTGTGACTCAGCTGAATTGACAAGTGTCTTTCAGAGAGGGAACTCTGAGCTTCCCTCTTCTGCTAGAAAAGTGGAGAGAATATTAGTGGATTGAATGTGTATTAATGTGGCA